GTGTGTGTGTGTGTGTGTTTGACCGGAAATTCAACTTCCTTCAAAACAGCGATAGAGCGCTCAAACTGATGGGTGATGTAGGGGTCGGGCAAACACTATTGGTGGGTGGCAGGAAGTGATAGCAGTTGATAAGAGCTGATAAGCGGCCTTAAGGGCAAGGTCAGCAAATTTATAACGCGCGTCACAGCAAGGCTAGAGTGTTGGTTCCAAGAAGTGAAAGAGGGGCAGGATGGGAACATTATTGGTGGGTGGCAGGAAGTGATAACAGCTGATAAGATACCATAAGGAGCCTTAGAAGGAGTGGGTCACCTAATTCATAACACCGGCCAGAGCAACGACGGGACGTTGGATCCAAGTAGTAAGATAGGGCAGGATGGGATCATTATTGGTGGGTGGCAGACAGTGATAACAGCTGATAAGATACCACGAGGAGGGGTTAGTCACCTATTGATAAAGCCAGCCACAGCAACGACCGGACGTTGTTCCAGTAAGACAGAGAGGGGGGGGGCAGGATACGAACATTATTGGTGGGTGGCAGGGCGTAACAGCAGCTGAAAAGGTCGAAATTGATTCGACTATAGCTAAACTCTCACTAGTTTTGACAAAAAGTAAAAGCTTAAAGTTGTTCGCCAGTGGGGAATGATAAGGGCCACCAACAGACGGATATGTGAAAGCTGCTCAACGGAAGTATCTTGATGTAAGCACATTCCACTATGATCTCGGTATTGTTACCTTTCGACCGCTAAGCCGTTTTATTGCCAGCTAATGATCTGTGTTTTTAGAAATCTGATAAGCACATTGGCAATTGCTCATTAAAGAGGAGAAATATGGAAATATGATGAAATGGGCCGAATTTTGAAACATGGGAATTAGGCCAAGTGTTAGGGGTCAGCACAGAAATCCTGTCATTGATCAGGACCACAGACTGAACCATGCGCGCAGTAGTGCGCGTCAGCCAAACTGGTAAAGGATAAAAGGATAAAGTCTTCGCCGTTAATCAATCCCTTTGTGCTCAGTGTTTTATCCTCCCAGACGAATCTGGTACCAATTTACCGTCCCCGGAGGGTAGAAGGCTTGGTTGGCCTGGGCGGGAGTCGACCCGGGATTCGAACCGGGACCGCGCGAGTGGTAAGCGCGCCACTTGTCACACTACACCATCTTCGCCTTTCGTCATGTTAGCTTAGCATAAGTAACAGTAATCTGTAGCATCCAAACTGATTCGACCGCCAAATCGTCCGCTACTCCGAACAATGGAGGATGTTTATAGAAGTGAGTGCTGTAGCAAATCACTCGATCACTTATCAAAAAAAGAAGGGTTGGTAGTACTCCAAAGAAAAGATGAAATAGCTTCCTGCTCACGAAAGGGCGTCTCGGACGGAATGTAATTGGCGCATTGCCAAACTCGTCCTTCACTAGCTGTTGAAGCGAGGGGCGCGACAAGACTGTATTATATCCTTCATATCACTGGTTTTCTCCAAACTAATGTCGCATCGCGCTTCAACCACTGGCAGAGAGCGGGTTAGGGGCACACTCCTACTGTCTAACACGTCCCTTCATCTGCAGTGAATTACTCTATATTCCCGTGCTGAACTAATAGGTTGAATAGATATCGTTCAGCTATACTGCTGACAGGTTCTACCTTTTGATGCGCACAGTGCTCAACGCAATTTGAACCACTGGGGAATAACGGGATAGAGGGCAGCTGCAAACGCACAGAATGCTGTCGTGGCACATTTCAAAGCCAGTTGCCTGCAGGAGGGGCTTATTTCTCCAGAAGTCAGTCCACGTACCATGAATGCCTTGACCATAGCTTTGAGCTTCGTCAGATCAGTGCGTGGCTTCGCTGGCGATGAAGAAGATTCTTCCGCATTTCTGAAAGATTTCTGGCTCGATGGTGTTTCTGGCGTCGACCCCTTCGATGCTGATGCAGGTGTTCCCTTTGTTGATGACGATGGTGTCTTTCTTGTTGATGGAGTTTGCTTTCCTTTGAGCGATTTAGCTGACGACCCATCCTTAACGCAGTTGAACTTACATTAGTCACACGAAGTAATGGATTGCATCAAAAGTTTGACATAATTTAGCTTCTCGCGCCTTCGTTCTACTTCCCAGCATGACTGTATTCGTGGCATACCTTCTTTTTCGTTTTCTTCGGTTTCCGTTTTCTATTGAAGTACTTGAAGTATTTACAGCTGATCAAATACCCTAAAATCAGTGCCAACATGCGGGATTCGATATTAACATCAACGACAGCAATCTTACATGTGGAAATGCTCATGAGTAATAGAATTATACACAATGCTGCGTACATAATCGTGAGTAAACGATGCTGCTCTGAAACAAATACTTTTGATGAGTACTGACTGAATCAACCAACGCCTCAGCTTACACCGACTACTCCACTTCATTCACAGATATATAAAAATGAACCACACTACAACCCGCACACAAGCTGTCATATCAAACTGATGGTGAGCAGATAAGCGACTTTCTGTCATTGTGAAAGGAATCTCCAAGTCAATGAGTAATAGCGTTTTTGTAAGTAACCTCCCACATCAAGCTCGGAAGATAAGCGTTTCCTCCTATGGGTTCCTTGTTTACTTCCCGAGTTCCTTGTTTACTTCCCGAGCAGCCGCCACTTTCACCGCACGTTGCGCATCCTCCTAAGTGCTCACGCCCAGGTGCAGCTTTACCACCTGCGGCACTGTTCGCTTACCGAATGGTCCTCCTATGTGGCAGTTTAGCGGTGTTTTCACGACCACACTACTATGGAAGATTGATGGCGGAAGCAGGGCACGCCATCGCCACGCGAGATACAGCCCCCTCCGACATCGAGTCATCCTACGACCCTCCCCCTCCTCAAAAAAACGATATCAACAAGGATACTCAAATTTCAGAGATTGCGCGCGAGTGTTCAAAACACCTTCTCACTGTTCCATTGAAGCGAGCTTTTTGCGGTGACTTTTCAAATAAGTCGGGAACTCCAGGAGTCCCCTGGTCTTGAATGTTCATAACTTTCTTGTGAGAGGACCTTCTAGAGAGGAGCAAACAGAACTCTTTAGCTTCATAGTGTATTAAATGTGCGAGAGCTATTTGAAGCACCTCTTTTTTAGTAACATTCCCTCCTTCTGACTTGATTGTAACATATTAGTGACAGTGACTCGCCAGTTTTCTTGCTGTGAACAGCCATAACTTTCTTAAACCAGTGCAATATCGGAAGCTAGGGAGTTCCGCTTCCTAAAAGCACCTCACTCCTTTCCATGCACTCTAGTCAAAAATCCCCGTAATGATTTCATTGTGACAAGCATAAGACAATGCGAAAAGTCCGCACCTCCGTTGCAGAATCATTTCGTTTCTATGAAGACTTGAGTAAGCTTCTGGAAAACAACTTTTCGTCGAAGCTAAGCCACGCTCATACTTTGCGGCAGCGTCCATTCCATCAGTGTTCGTCAGCGACCAGGAGTGTATAGATATCGATCTAGCATCTACCAGCGTCTGCCAGGGTCCTCCAGCGTTCTGAAGAGTGTTGCGCGATAGGAGCTCACCAGCTCAGCTGGTAGGGATGGAGAGACAGGAGGGTAGCAGACCGCTGGTAGGGAGCATGGTGCGATAGGAGGGTACCAGTTGTTTGCTACTTTCCTATCGCGCCGTGCTCTCCTCTCCCGGATGTTGGTAGACGCTGTTGCACGCTGGCACACGCTAAAGCGATACCTATACCTTCCTTGCCCACGAGACGCTGTGGACTGGTAGACGCTGGCAGGCACTAAATCGATATCTACACTTTCCTGGTCGCTGACGCGCTACCGGACGCTCGAACACGGGTGACGGATCACTGGTACGATCGCACCTTATTAGGAGGTAGCTCGCACCTGGCAGCGAGACAACTTTAATGAGGTGCGAAAAGTTGGTGCCTAACTGCGTTGTCCACATGTTTTCATAATAATAAGTGAGGGATGATCAATAAAATGAGGAACAGTTAATGAAATATGTGTGGGGATACTCTTTCCTACACAATAATGTGCCATTTAAGGGCTCAATCTATACACTACACTAATAGTTCACGAACCGGTCCCACTTAACTATTGCGCTCTCGATACACTATTGAGAAAACTCTTGCTGAAAGTTGGGCTACGGGTTCACTCGATGCCCTGTTCACGAGCACGGCACTCACATCTGACCATGGCGCAACTTATCGCTGATTTGGTGCAGGAGGTTTTTTTGCTATGAAATCGTTGTCAAACTCACGCATGAGCCGGCAGCAAAAATAAGTATTGTGATGGTTATGATGACGTGATTTCGGGCATCAATTACCCTTGTATACAGATTTTCAAGAAAGAAAAGTTTGTTGGTGATAGTGGACCGGCCACTGGATTGGCAGTGGCACCCCAACTCGCATCTCGTGTAGGTCACCGGCAAAACCAACCTTCGCAAATTTCCCTTCTCAAATTCGGTATGACTTCAAAGAAAACCATGTTGGTCCCAGGGCACGTGTACGAGCATCCTGGGCTTTTCTCGGCTCCCATCGTATAAGCTTCCATCAAGGAACTGGTTACCTCCAGCCGTAACCCTTGCAACGGAACCTGTTTCATTTTAATTTGAATAAATAGTAAATAGTAATAGAATATAGTAAATAGAAAGGTCCAGGTATCGAAGTTGGATACCGACACCTAGAAGATACTGATAGGCACCAGTTCAACGTCTATCGTCAAAACTCGAGAAAAAAATTTGTGAAACTCTGTATTAGGGGTCATCAATAGCCCTGATCACGGTTCTGACATTTATAAATGACGCCGAGGCCATTTGTCGCCAACATGGCTCTGAATACCTTCCCACTGCGTGTGGAGTGGGATGCTTGAGAAAGTTCAACATTATCTCACCACGTGCAGGTAAGGTACTTCTTATTTTGTGTTGTTCTAGATGCATGGTTGACAAACTTCTCATTAGCTGTGTGTATTCAACATTACTACTAGAAAAGAAATCAGCGGATCGGCTCGAAATGGATCCTGTTTAGCAATTTTCACTCATTTTTTGGCATTCCCAGGAATGCATAGCAAAAATTGAACCGATTTTTATGATTCTTATATGGACCCCTACAACATGCAACAAACCATTTCTGAAAAGCGCGCGATGACCTGAATGACCTCAATTGTAAGCCCTCTCTCCTTAATGAGGTCACTTCGCAGCTAGGCACCAAGTTTTCGCACCTCATTAAAGCTGTCTCGCTGCCAGGCGCGAGCTACCTCTTAATTAGGTGCGATCGTACTAATTATGGCTTACCCCTCGGAGCACTGGTGGACGCTGCCTCAAAGTATGAACACAGCCTCATTAGGAAATAGTTCATTCGGCGTCGATTAACATCTCCTCTGTATTTCACCATGTATCCGACTCCCTCGCAGAGTTGGAAAGGTGTAACATCCAGGCAAGGCTTTTCTGTGCAAACATATGTGGTCCTACGGTTCATAATGGTCCGAGCGCATTTGTATTGTGTCTATCTATGACATCGCTGTGGGCTTCTACAGTGTTTCTTGTCATTGCCGTTCCCCACTTCAGAGATTGCAACTTAACTGAGCTTCTGCAACTGCCCTGTCTTCAGGTGTCCCTACAGGTGTTTTTCGCAACGCGAAACATGGATAAATCTTTCAGGAAAAAGTGGAATAGAACATAGACCAGACGCAGAAAACCATAGACGAGCTCCCGAGTGCTGCTGTAACGCCAGGAACGAACTGGCGACTGCAGGTGCACGAGAAATTGAGCAGCGCAGGATTCAAGACAAGGTAGGATTCCTGGAATCTATAGAAATTGACATCAACAGTCCTCAACAGCTGCAACCCGAGAACGATGAAGGGCTAGTCGTTGTGGACGAAGTCGAGAGCGGCGAAGAAGACTCTGACATAGTGGTGGTAGTAAATAACCCCCCAAAACGTGCTCGCATGAGCCCAGCTCAAGAGGAGCCCAGACGACGTGTTATTTCCACCTCGGAATACGTAAAACGTCAACACGCTTAAGCTCAACATAGTCGAGACACTGACATTCAGCAACATCGATATGCAGAGGATAGTCCACATCCATGTGCAGATGAGTCTCAGAGTCTTGAACAGCAACTAAGAGATACGACGAAATAGAAGGCACGCGCAGAGCACCACTTGGCAAGCATGAGAAGGAACAAACCCCATGCACGGCGAAGATTCCCACCGGAGAAGCCGCAAAGCTAGAGAGATAGCTAGCTAGAGAGATATTAAAAGAAATTGAAGAAAACAGCCAGAAAATCAAAGAATACGAGCTCCGCATAGAACTCCTCAGGACAAAAATGAAGCAAATGAAGGAACAACACTAAATCACGAAACAGCATCACCCATACCTGGCCGGAGTGCCAGCAACACCCTGATGCAACTATTACCTATGCGCTGTACAACATCACGCATAGCTGGTCCGAGTGCCAGCAACACTGATGCTCAACTATTAGCGGTGCGCTGTACAACATCGCGCACAACTGGCCCGAGTGCCACACATACGCTGAGGATCAACCATACTGTGTGCTGCATAACATCGCACACACCTGGCCCGAGTGTCAGAACCACGCCGCTGTCCGTTCGTGACCCACCCATCGTGTACTCAACTGACCCCTAGACCAGAAAGGTTTGTGACAATCTACACATCGATTAGTAAAGTAGAAAATATATCCGATCACATATATGGACTCACACACATGCCAGGAGTAGGTAGCAACATGAGCGGGAATTGAATGAGCGAAGACCTCGGACTTTATTTCTGTTGTGTTCCATGACAGTCAATCTCCTTTTTGTAGAACGTCCTTTTGGGCCGAGGGGGGGGGGAGTATCGCGACTATATGCGATTTTACTAGTTCTGTATCTGTTGTAGTGTTGTATTTGTTCTGTTTAGCATTAATCACTTTCATTTAGTGTAATGCATGCCCCAGATTCTGTGCAAGCATGGTCAGCTTTCACATGATGCGGTCGCGTTCGAGCACTCTCTCTCTTGACACACTCTCTCTCTATCTTCCTTCTTATAAACATACAGTCCCGCCTCGAGAGAAGCTCGGGACGAGAGTGCCTTTTCCGTTTGGCAGCACAGCTGCCTTCTTTTAATATTTTATTACTTTTGCTCATTTAGTTAATAGTTTATGTTTTGGTAGTGTTTAATTACCCAAGTTTGAGGGATAAAAGTGGTGTGTGTGCCGTGATCGTCTTGTTCTGGTATATCCACATATAATATTATCTATACACGCGTAGCAGGACATTGGGAAACGTAGCATTCAACTTAACGAGTTTTTGCCCATTCAACTTAACGAGT